AATAATGTGATTGCTGGAACTGCGGTAACCTTGACAAGGCTAGACCAAATGATTCTGAGGCCCTTGTATGACCCATGGGCTGGACATTCCCCACCCCTGCTGTACAGGACTTCTGAGGAGTGGCTGGTGGGTTTGAACTGCTGACCTTGCAGTTCAGACCAACCTTGTAGTTCAAACCAAACCGACCTTGCAGTCCAGTACTTTATTTTACAATGCCACATATAGCAATAACACTAGGGAGGTATTTTTGTTGTTGAGTGTTAGTGTACACCTTAAAATAATCAACCATTTGAGATCAAAAGGGTAGCATTTATCCAAGGACCAAACATGAGCTCAGAAGGATTAGGAAAAAAACATCAATAGAAACAGGAAACCCAGAGAAAGTGAGATAGGTGATGTTACATTGTGGAGATTGCAATCAGTGAAATGAAACAAAATATGTATGAATTGTTAAATGGAATACTGACCTGCTGTGTAAACCATCCAATTCATTTATAAAAAGTGAAAAACAAAACAAAACAAAACAAAAAAACCTTCAGAAAGTTAAAGAGCAAAAATATCACATTAAGGACTAAGGTGCCCCTGACCCAAGCCAGGATTTCAGTCACCTCATATGCATGAGAAATCTGGACAATGAATAAAGAAGACAAAAGAATAATTAATGGATTTGAATTATGCTTTGGGTGAGGAATATTGAGCATCCATGTATCACCAGAAGAAAAAACACATTTTTCTTGGAAGAAGTACAGCTTGGACTGCTCCTTAGAAGCCAGGATGACAAAACTTCAAGTACTTTGGACATGTTATCAGTAGGGATCAGTGTCTAGAGAAGGACATCATGTTTGGTAAAGTAGAGGAAGACCCTCAACGAGAAGGCTTGACACAGTGAGCTCAAACATAACAAACGCAGGACTCGGCAGGGTTTTGTTCTGTTGTACATACAGTCTCTGAGTAGTAACTGACTTGGCAATCACCACTGGTTGAAGGAGCTGCCAAATGTTCAGCTCTCTCTCTGAATCTGAACTCCTGTCTCTATCCTTAACTCTATCCTCACAGTCACCAGATGTGAGCTTTCTACAACTCATCTCTTGATCAAGGCACAGCAAAAGAGTTGTCAGTTTTTATATCTACTTTTCCTTTCACCTCAAGCTTCCTTTTATTGCGGGCTCAGCTTCCCTCCCAAAGAAACCCTGCAGTTCCTGTTAACTGATTTCTGCAAACAAGTTCTATGTATTTATTCCCAACAGCAGTGGTACAGGGCCTTGCATCTGTCATTCCCCTCATGCCCTGCCTGTCACATATGAACAGGACTGACTTTGAGTTCTGTTGCTTGTGAGACTTATTCAGCTCTCTAGCTTCCCTGGTATAGCGCTGTAAGATGAGCACTGGACCTGAGAAGCTGGCAGTTCAAACCACTAGCTGCTTTCAGAAACCCGATATAGGGTCACTATGAGTTGGAAACCGACTGGAACTTACTGATGGCACACAGTGACAGCTACTCTCCGTGACTCCTGGTTGGACATGTGTGCCTACCTGAAGAGAGGAAAGCTTTGTCCTGGATAAAGTCTTAGGTGTACTGGGTAGTAGCAGGGAGTTGAACAGCTGCTTAAGGCAGCAAAAGGCTTCCCTATCCAGGGAGTCCTGGTGTGGCACTGTGGGTTAATGCATCAGACTGTAAAGTCCCTTGAACTGTTAAGTCTCTTGAACTGCAAGGTCGGCAGCTGCTCCTTGGAAACCCTATACAGAGTGACTATGGCCGCTATGGGTTGGAATTGACTCAAGGCACTTAACAACCATATCCGGGTTTTATAGTGCTACAGTTCTTTAATCTGAGTGTAACTCCCAGGTTGGGGAGGCAGTATATCATGTCGCCATGTGTGACCTGCACAGACGCTAACGTGTCCCTCACTGATGCTCAGTGTAAAGTTTGGGAACAACATTACCATAATTGTACACAGTGGGCTAATGCGCTGAACTGCAAAGTCGGTTTGAACTGCAGGGTCGGCGGTTCAAGCTCATCAGTACGCCTGGAAAACTCTATACAGGGCCACTATGGGTCGGAACCGACTCGACGGCACTTCACAACAACAGTCACGCCCACGCAGCCTCAGGTACACACAGTCACGATCACTAACAACAATCTACTGACCCTTGGGCCCACGTGGCTTCACCCAGATGGTAACACTTATATACAACCTCAGTCGCGCCCGCCGTCAGTGGTTACTCTCCCAAGGTTGGACTCTAGCAAGACACAAATCTACGCGGACCACCACACCCCGGAGCCGGGCGGTGTTCCCACTTTCCTCGTCCCCCGCGGGCGGTGGCCAAGGTGTGGTGCGCGTTTCCTAGTCGGCGAGATTAGGCCTCTGCACGCCGGAAGTGGCGGCTGGAGCGGGAGCGCTGAGGTGTCGGCCGGCGGGGCAGTGGCCCGGAGTGGGGGGCGGGGGCGTTGGTCATGTTTTCCTTTGGGCCCTGTAGCCCCAGGGGCGATGAGGCGGCTGGAGCCGGGGCTGAGGAGCCGGC